AGCAGGGCAAGGCCCAGATCTGGGAGAAATGTTAAAATTCCTGCAAGATACAGAGTTTATTTGTCATTATTTTGTTATAGGAATACACAAGATATGAGTGTGTTAGAAGCCCCTTATTCTTTTGTGATAATGTCAGGGGATGACAGTGATTATTATTGAATTATTAAAAAGTTGTCACATTGGGTGGTATGAATAAAAACGAAGTAACTGCTACTACTACGGTTATGTATATTCTCCGTATATAGTATTTACTTTAAAAGGAAGTAGATACTACATTTCGAAACTACCGGAAATTAGTAAATTCTTCTTTTTAAAGTAAATACTGCGTAGTATACTTAACTTTAAAGTAAATACTGTGTACTGTGTAGTGATACTTGTAGTAGTAGAGTAACAGGTACTTCGTTTTCATTTATACCACCCATTGTTCTTTGTAAAATAAAAGTATCTATTTTTGGTAGTAGTATCGGCTCTTGCTGCAAAGGTATAGCTATACTTGATACAGGTTAAAAGGCATTATCAATTTTAACAACAACTATAAAACATGATGAGAACTAGTGGAAAAGCCAGAAGATGAAGAAATGGGTATTTTGTAACAATGCTGAAGTATTCACCACAACATGCAGACTATGATTTGTTTATGATTCAGCTTCATTTTAATAAATCAGCTTTTCCAAATGGAACGCTGAAAGATCCAGTTTATTAGAACTGCCTGAAGGGCTCAAAATCAGTACAGATTTGAATTTGTGAAGCAAATCGATATAAGAAAAGTTCTGTAAACTAAAAATTTATAATGGTAGGTACAAGATTTGAGTTTTTCAGTTCTCAATAACCTGTTTTTCCCTCCAGATTTCTATAGAATATCCAATATTATTGGAATCAGTTGAAGTATGTAACAGGATACTTAACGTATACAATCATATAAATTAAAATCTACGAGGAGTAATGATTCCAAAATTCGATTGTCATCGCATATTTGTATAGATCCTGATTTTGGAAATAGTATATTGAATAGATAGAAAGAGTAGGTTGATCAAGTGTTATAAATAACAATCCTATAGGGGAAAACTTCACAATTGACCACCAACAGAGTTCATCAGAGAAGGAAGTTTGTGTTCTGTTTGCAAAAAGTTCATTTGATGTGGACTAGGCATTTTGAGATTTAAATTGAGTTAATTGGACAATAGTTTGCATAATGTTAGGGACAACCCCAATGACACAAAAGTAAAAAAGCAATAGAATCGTATCTTGGCTATTCGTAAGGGGGCAACATTTTTACATACCAAATAGGATTAGCCATTTATTAACGAAAGGACATGGACGCGTATGCCGCCGCCGGCACAGGATATCCGTATCCTTGGTTACATAAAAGCGGCACAAAAGCATCCAAAACAGGAAAAGGAAATATATTATCGGTCGATTTTCAATTGCCATTATCGCCGTGCGGCTTTTTTCCGTTTCATTCAATATGCACAAAATGCAAAAATCCTGTCCTGTGTGTTTGTGTATTTTTTCGAGGTTTGTTTTGTTAAAATGATAATGATGGGTGGTAATGAAAATGATATGTGTAGGTTTGCCGAGGCAATTAAACGTTTGCTTTTGTTAATAGATAAAATCGACAATTTGGAGGAAAATAAATTATTAGTTGCAGCATGATTCTATTTCCTGGATAGAGCCAATTATTTAGACTATTGTGTAAATGACAAAAATGCTTTTTTCCTATTGAATCAAGGATAAACATTTAATTATTGGTGGAAAATTTGAATTTAAAAGAACTGATGATGGTAGTAAAAACCAGGATTAAGAAAAAAATTATTTGTCAACTAAATGGTTCTTTGAAATTCGCTTTCACATTAAAAAAAAAAGCCCACGACACCTGGGTCCTATACCTTTGCGAAATACCTACTACACGCATCCGGTTTTCCAAGACGACCCACGAGACTTAAGTTCAATTACTTTTATGTAAAGTAAGCCAAAAACGTATTAAGAATAATTATGTTCCAACGACTAATAATAGACATTACACGCCGGAAACTATTAAATTGCCATCTTATTATTTATTTATTTATTATAAGGAGCCCAAACATTGGTAATTTGATGTCCATTGACGTTTTTAAGGTAATTATTGATAAACGGTAAGGTATAAATTGGGTTCTTATTATACAGAACTTTTTATTGCCATCTTTATATTAATGAGAGAAATTCAGTTGTAAATCAAACCTTGGTACCAATAGTAATTTGCTAATGATTGCATTATAGGTACCTATAATATATCATTTCATAACTTATTATAAAGATTTTGACTTCTGAATAATAGCCTTCATCCTCAACTCAATTTGAACATCAACGCTTTTATTTTCAACCACATATGTAATGTTGACATTGCAGGTTTTTCAAAATCTTGAAAGTGTCACATTTCTGGACTTTGACATTTATCGGGACGGTAATGCATATGCCTGCCTAGGACGGAAAAGCATTTTCCGTCCGGGACGGCAAATGCTTTTCCGTCCCCATTTCCCTGCTCGTTCCAAATTGATAATTTTCATACAGCTCTCACATATAATAATAAAACCACATGTATTACATGGAACTAATTAAATCTATTCACTTATTTACATTAATTGTTAAATTAGCATTGTTGTTTATAATGGAAATCTTGAGACCATCCTGTTGGAATTGTGTTTCGTTTGGAACTATTATCTCTTGCGCTTGCGGATGAGTTTCCGCATGTGATGTACTTGTGGATGCACTGGACAACTGAATACCTTTGGAAGTAGAGGATAGCATCAGAGCAGTCTTACTTTTGTTCTCCAAAGATGCCTCTATGTAGCCTTCAGCAACCGTGCTCGATTTCCACCCTCCCAGTCTTTTGAGTTGCAATAGATCGGCCCCGTTGTCAACCAATAAGGTTGCGGAAGTACGACGAAAAGCATGCCCTGTAAAAGTTTCAATTTTTGGAAGCTTCAAAAAAGCAGCTATTTTATGTGGAAATTTTGAGATTGAATGATAGCCAATTGCTTGGTTATGTAATTTCCCATTTCGCCATTGAACAAATAACCTGTCATTTTTCAAATTTTTCCGCAAAGTGAGGTATTTGTGGAAAATAGCAACCCAATCTGGATCGCTTATGATAAACGATCGACTTGTGTAAGTTTTTGTGTGTGGAATTTCTATAGCGATCTTTCCTTCCAAAACGTTGACGTGCTCCATTTTCATCTTGACTAGTTCATCGCTCCTACATGCACCCGACACACCAACAATTAGCGCTACCTGAAACCAGATAAAAATAAAATGGGTAACCTAGCTATAGCATACAGAAAATCATTTTGATTTTCGCATTTTTATCTTCTTTGTATATTTTATGAAAACCTACCTTGATGCTAATGAATTCTTCAGCTGCCTTCGTGAGGAACTCGTTAATGTTTTCTCTGGAAAAAACGCTCGACTTTTTCGGCTGAAAGCCCAGATTTTGCCGCTTCAAAAAAGCTATAAGTTTTGCGTAATTGGAGATATCAACTTTCTCTTTCAATTTAATCATGGTTTTCAACATACTGTAAGTCGACCATAAAGTCGAAGGCTTCTTTTCCTTAGATAATTCGCCAAAATACGCCAAGAAAACGGTCTCCGAGGCAGTATTTCTCGTTCCTTTCTGGCTACACCATGCTTCGAATATTTGAAAAGCCTTTTCGTACCGAAATTTGCTTTTTGCTGGAAGCAAACTCTCTCCAATCCTGTCTGCTGCTTCTTTTAATTCAGGTGGGGTACAATCCATCGCTTCATCTTCACTTTCCGAAATCATTTCTTTGGGGAGAACGGGGAGAAATCTAGTGAAAATCTATTATTTCCGCAAAAATACTGAGCGAAAACTACCGTCGTTAAGGCGTTGTTGATCTTATCTATGGTTGTTGATTTTGCGGTTTCCTGTGGTTTCGTCTTTTGTTTTGGCCTTTACAGGGCCTTTGAGATCGTCAAAATTGATGACATTGACAAAAAAAGTGAAATATTTTTTTCTAAGGCCAGTTTTACACTATATGAAAATTTCGTATAACAGAATCTTTAGTTTTTGCATCAGAAAATTAAGGGTTGAAAATAAAAAAGTATACAAACCTCGACGGAAAACTTCATTTCTGTCTCGAGGTTGAGTTTATCTCGACGCTTCGCGTCTCGATAAACTATAATAACCTCTCGACCAGCAATGAAGTATTTTCCGTCTCGGATTGTAATATACTATTTCACGTTTCAAATTTGTATTACAATGAGATTTAAGGAAAAGTGAGGAGTCGAAAAAAAACTGTAAACTACCAGAAACATGAAGGCGAAAGCAATTCATAAATAAGATTAATTAGATGAAGTCAATTTTGAATATCTCATCAATCCTAAGTTTTCTTAACTATAAGAGCAGCATTTTTTTAATCAGCACGATTACAAAATGTCCTATTGTTAAAGTTCAGATTAGAGATCCATTGAATCAATCCGATTTTGCAAGAATTCATGACCTGCTTCCTGAAGTGATAAGACTGAAATCGCGATACCTTATTAGGAAACATTGAAAACCATGTATATATTCAGCCTATTCATAGAGAATATAATATTTAATCATTTGAGTTAAGTATTACATATAAGGAAAATGAATTTGGATAATTCAAATTTGTTATTGAGTCACCTATAATTACCAAGAAAAATGTCATATGTAAGTATTATTTGTAGTAGCTAATAGTTAGATTTCCTAAATTCTCCCTCAATGGCTTCATTGATAAGCTTCCATGAAATAAACCGAAATTGTTTCCTGTTTTTGGTTCTATTATAGGAATCGGAATTAATAATCAAATATTACCACTTATTATTGACCTAAATTAATTCAATACTGAGGGGTTTCCTATGTAAAAACGTCTTGCATCAATATCTACATCTAGTTTCAACCAAATCCAAAAAAAACACGTTTCAAAATTTCAAAAACAATAGGTAATTGATACATTCATAATTATTAATCAATAATTTGTTACCTTTTAAATATCTTAGGCCAAAACCTTTTTTTGGTCCTTCGAGCCGGATTTTCTAAACTCTTGCCTCACTCAAATAGTTACAAAAATATATACCGTTTAAGTAAAAAAGTAAGTCAACTGCAAACAAATACTAACTGTGTATTTGACTTATTATATGTGCCACCTTATTATTGACTTTTTCCGAGCGCAACCGTTCGATACGAAATCGCACGATAAACTGACTCTCGACGTCAAGTAAATGCAGTTGTTGGCTTCGCAACCACGTGCTGTCGACTGAAAGTTGAGCTTACACTGCTTACAGTGGTTTTACTGGTCGGTTTTTTGGTGGTGGGGGCTTGGGTAGTTTCGAATATTTTTCCGGCTCAAAGGACCACACAAAAATTTTGGATTGAAGTATCAAGGATGGATATATGGTTTAGATTATGAAAACAATGATTTCATTCGTCGTTTCCAGGCCTCATATCAACCTCATGGTTGTTTAATTCTTTTGGATGAATGGGGATGGTGGAAAATTGATACAGAAACATGTTCAGTTGTCTTCAATGGTTATAATAGTGGATATTTTTGATATTTTCTGCATTTTTCTCTAATTTCTCTGAAAATCTTTCCAGATCGATCCATTAGAAATATATATACTTATATATATATAGTATATTTTGGAAGCTATTATCATTGTATACTATTATAGGTACTTTTCTTCTTTTATCACATTTGTTTTTGTAGTGTAAGTATTCTTTGTTTGCTTGTCTAACTTCCATTCAGACTTCTTTTCAAATCATTGTGTATTGTTGTTTTTTACATATTTCTTCTCTCATTCAGTAATAGTGGATAATATTAGAAATCACCAATTCTTGTTCTGCCTCTGGTTGATTTTTGAAGTGTTTCTTTACTCAGCTTCTATTTCTTCATTGAAGAAATGTTTTTTTTACATTGTTTGACGTCATTGATTTTGCAGTATTTCTTTTTTTATATCTGAGGGATGTTACATATCTGTTTTGCCAATTTTCGGATGGTTTGAGTATTTTTCACCTTTATTTATCAATGGCAATTATTATAATTTAAAAAGATATCAGCTCCTGAATAGGTTTTTGCTGATATCTATATTGATGGGTAATCCAGATATAATTGATCTGATTTCTTAGGACAGTATCCCGTCGTTTTTGCAGTACCTAGCAGTCGATCTCCTCTTTAATTTCTTTTTCCAATGTCCGTAATCTCCAGCACATTTCCAGCGTTGAAGTTACCTAATAAGGTATACCTACCTACAACAACAAAAATATTGACTTTTCTATAAACAATATCTTTCAACTGATATTATTGGTAGGGTACCTAGCTTAATTAAACTGTCTAATATTCCTTTTCCTAGGAAATTATTTAGGATAGATGCAAAAATATTGATAACGATATAATTGCAAAATATGGAATTTGATATATTATTCAAAAATGTAGACTAGCTAATTAAAAGACTAAGATCTCTAGCAAAAAAATATCAAATTTCATAAAACATATTTTTTTTTTTCAGTTGACTGCTCCTGGATGTGCACGAATATAAGCACATTACATACGCTACTTAGATATATTCTTATTTCTTTAAATAAGGAAGATGGTTGTTAGTATTTTAAAAGACTTCCTGCTTCAACCTTTTGTTATGGGGATTATTGTACGTATTTAAATCCTTAGCGGACACAATGAGAGCTAAAAAGTTTTAAAAATCATGTTGGACCTTGAGTGAGGTGGATAAAAATATAATGCTTTTAATTGGAATTATGGGATTAATGTATAGGTAATAATTATTTTAATAATAAAAATAATAAACAGAGAAAAGTCTTATCTACTATATTGTGGTGACAGGAGACCTAAATGCTAAGATCGGAAATAAAGAACAAAGCGATCCCGTATACCTGGGAAATTTTGGACTAGGAAAGCTTAATGATAAGAGGAGATATGATGGCAAGTTTTATGGTCAAAGAACACGTTTGCCAAAAAACCACCCAAACGAAAATGGACGTGGGTTAGCCCAGACAAAAAATGAGATTGACTATACATATATATTTTCCAACAAGAAAATATTTTCAGGGATTTCTCTGTTTTAAATCGATTCAATACCGGAAGTGATCACAGAGGTTGGTAAGAGCTACGATAGAAATAAATGCAAGACATGAAAGACAAAAATTAATGAAAAAGTCAAGGTTCCCAACAATGGAGATATTAACCCAGAAAAAAGATGAATATTAAAGCTTCAAAAGAAACTAAAATTAATTGGAAAACCCAACAGAACTTAACAAGTTAGCTGAAAAAATAACAGAATTCATCCAGACAACAACAAAGAAAATATGCAGCAAAAGTGAAAATCCAAAGAACACAAAACTAAACCCAGAAACTGTAGATTTAATAACAGAGAGAAAAACACATGATCCACAATACAACGAGAAGAATGCAAGAGTGAAAAAAATGCTATAAGGACAGACCTGTGAACTTATACAACTAAACAAATCTTAGAACCAATCGAAGCCAACAAGAATATGAAAGTATTGAAAACCAAGTCATCCAAAGGAAAACAAAGAATTATAAACATCAAAAATCAACAAGGAGTACTCGTGAGTGATAAGAAATCTATTGTGGACGAAATTCAGCACTTTTATAAAAACCTCTATACGTCTACGGTACCAAAACCACATATAGAACCGAGGAAAATTCTAAACTGGGGCTCAGAAGAAATAGGTACCCGAAACTACGTCTTCAGAACTAAAACACGCCTTTAAGACATTTAAAAAATAAGAAATCTCCAGGGGAAGACCACATAACCGTAGAAATGCTAAAATTGGGTGGCAACGAACCATATCAAAACACTACTCAATAAATGCCTCTCAAAAGGAAAAATACCAAAAATATGGGAAAATGCAGAAGTGACACTTCTATTTAAAAAAGAAGATAACACGAATATAAAGAATTATCGTCCTATTAGCCTTCTTTCTCATTTATATAAGCTACTCACGAAAATCACAACCAACCGTTTAACAACAAAACTGGATTCCTATCAATAACCAGTCGAACAGGCAGGATTCCGCAAGGGATTTTCCACCACCGATCACCTACAGACCATAAGGCAACTTATAGAACTTCAGAATATAATATCAATATCCCCCTCCTACATATGGCTTTTGTAGATTATCATAAAGCTTTTGATAACATCAAGATATGGTCGTTTCTTGAGGCTTTCATCTTTAAAAATAAAAACATTCCGCTTTCACTCAAAAAAAAAACATAAGTATGACACGTGTGTACTCCCTGTTGCTACGTATGGACTGGAAACTATGACCCTTACAAAGAAATCTAAGGAAAAACTGTGCGTATGTCAAAGGGCTATGGAAAGAGCTATGTTGGGAATCACTCTAAGAGAACGAGTACGCAGTACTGACATTCGAAACAGAACAAAGGTAACCGATATACTAACTCGTACAGCGAAATTAAAATGGCAATAGGCAGGCCACATAGCACGAGTGAACCCAGATAAATGGACATCTAAAATGACATTCTGGCGACCCCGAATAAGTAAGCGAAACGCCGGACGCCCTCAGAGACGGTGGAGAGATGACATCAGACAAATCGTTGGGATCCAATGGAGAAAAATTGCCGAGGATCGACGGAAATGGAACAATCTGGAAGAGGCCTTTATCCAGCAGTGGACGAGTACAGGCTGATGAAGAAGAATTATTTCAATTGCATCAGTAGATAGGTAATTACTCAACTCAATTCCTTTAATAATATAGATGCAAATAAATACAAAACCCAAACAATGACTGTGACTTTCTCAAGTCTCTTCATATGGCACACGTTTTCACCGAATTTGCACCTTTTAACATAAGGGTCCGTTTCAGTGAAATTTTTAAGAATAAGTTAACAATGAAATCGTGTTTACCTGACTGACCACAATATGTGTTTTTATGTAGGGGTAGCGGCAGATGTTTCAAGGGCTTTTATCTACGATTTTCAGCTGCTTGATGATGTGTTATCAAGAAGTCTATAGGGAAAAGTGATGATTTTTGGGGAATTATTTTGATGAACAAAGGTTTGGTTTTTTTCACCTGGCCTATAACAAAAGACATGATTCCTTATACATTTCTAAATTTAATTGGATGTACCTAATGATAATTTAGTTAGGCCCCGTTTATTCACCTGATAGATAAACAGTCAGAGATAATGCAGTCTGATGGGTAAAAACGCAATCCAATAAGGCCCGGTTTATTATGAACTTGCTGGTTACTATCTACAAGACAAATATATAGCTATCAAACTAGAAACTAATAGTCGGCCGACCAATAAGGATCATTGATTGTGTTTTTATTTATCAGGTTGCATTACCTGACAGTTTATCAGGAGGTGAATAAACTAGGCCTTAGTAATCCTTTTGGTCGGCTAGATAACAAGTTTTGTTGAATTTGTCTTGTAGGACAGTTGCCAGCAAGTTTATCGGAACATGAATCAACCAGGCCTTACTGTAAAATCCAATAGTTTACCTTGCTCACTCATAGGTACTTCCACAACCATTTCATAAATCAATCACTGATCAAAAATTCTGATACAAATCATCTGTAACAAAGTTTATACCTTCGGCCCCTCATTTTTTATGGGTCCCATACGCGTGCCTTCTAAACTCACCCTTATAAATTCCACTCTATCGAATCTGAATACAACACCCTTATACGAAATACCTTCCCTAATCTGAACGTTTCGGAAAAAATAAATTATTTCGCTCAGGCAATTTTTCAAAAGTAGGTAAAATGCCGATTGGGAACACGATAAGCCTTGCTCTGAATATGGTATAACGTATTTCCTTCTTTTGTATTAGATTCCATTCACGTTTCAACAACAATTAGTTTTCGTGTGAATTATTTTTCGCATTCAACATGACTGACATGGCGAGACACACGGTTTCTTTTACGAAACTTGAGAAGGTGAAAATTAAGATCTATATAATTTACTGTATAATAATATGCAGCATGAGTTATAAAATTATGTTGTAAAAATTAAAATAACAAATGCATGGCATGTTATTGGTCTGGTACAGTTAAACTCCCGAAAATCAGTCCAATGATTTTTTGAAACTTTCATAGTAATATGAGCTCACAGAGGTAAAATTCTACCAAAGGTTGCTAATTGATACTAATTATGAGTTTTTGTTTCTTTCTTCTTTGTTCTCAACGATTGTATTTGGTTGATCAATTTTTTTTTTGGTCTTCTTATTCGATAATTTGTGTTCTTGATT